TTATGACAGATTGGTTATAGTTCCAACAGAAAAATCACTGTAAATCGAATATATTTTATTCACAAATGTACATACAATATCTATGATACAATTTTCAACAAGAATGGACACATGTAAATCCATTTGAAATTTAAATTTAATACTTTTTATATGGAGCTTACACCTTTTCCCACAATTTTCGATTAAACATTTCCCATTTTAATAACCATTTTTAGCTTATTTATGTTTTAAACAAAGTGCATTTAATTTGAACATGCTGGCTGGCTGTTACACTCTATCTCTGAATTTCTCTCAGAAAAATTCCACATTGAAACCAATTTTATTGCAGCTTCAAATTTGATTGAACCGCCAACGAAAGGGCAGCCTTTGGGCAGAGAGAGAGAGAGAGAGAGAGGGACATCCTTCGCAATGATCTCTGGAAAACGTTCTTGGGAAAATGCTACGCAATCAAAACTTGAGACAATTTTGTGAAAGAAAAGTAAAGTTTTGTGCATTTGAATGCTGCCTTTATTTTGCTGCATTTCATTTTGTTTTTGACTTTGGCTTCGGTCGGTCATAAAACCAAGTTCAAAATGCGCGAAAATGGAGCTGGCAGAAGACGTTGAGTTGGTTGGCTGGGGGTAAGAGTTTGTTGGAATATGGCATGACCCGCTGCACTAATGTCACACACTCGAGCATACACACATACATACATACATACACTCAAGTGCACATGCACACGCACACACACACACACACATACTATATACAAATGGATTCAGGCAGTCTGCCAGACGACATCGTGGAGTATTTCTCAACTCAAGCAGCGCCAAATGCAAACAAACAAACAAAGTTAGCGCTTGCATATGTATGTAGACATATATAATATCTGCTATGTATGTGTATGTTAGATGCACTTGTGTGCGTGTGTCTGTGTGTGTGCAAATGTAAAGCATAAGATAGACAATTACACTTTTGCCACTGCAGCAGAGACCGAGAGGGTGCAGGAGCAGAAACAGCATTTAGATAAACGCTAAAAGGTAAATGAACTTTATCAACCGAACAAGAAACGAGGCATACACACACACACACACATATACCTACATACACACATATGCATACCATAACTGCAATTGCAGCTCATTGTATGTGCCACCCGGTAGGTGTGCCCTTTTGGGCTGCTCCAGGTAGCACCTGCCTTGCACACATCCTTCCAGGTTTTGCTTATGAAATTGAATTGCTGCATCTGTGTGGGCTCCATTTATGTGTATACGAGTTTATTTGCAGATCTTTTTGGAACTTGTAGAGTGTTGAAAGCGTATATCTATACCGTTTATAAATAAATAAATAACCCAGCTACGGTCCCCGTACTCCACACTGCATAATGTTGCATACATTTTTCATTGGTGCGAAAGTTGGCCATTAGATGAGAGGCAAAATACAGGTTTTGGTGCAGATTAGGTGTCTGCCACACGCTCTTTAGGAATGCCATTAAATAAAGAAAATTAATCTGTTGCATTAAACATTGCAAAGAGCAAAATGGAAGAGTTGTCAAGCATTAAAAAACTAAAACCTATCCCGAACAAAATAGGAAACTGGGGGCCTAATGCCAACTGAAATTCTTTGAGGAAGTGTTTGAAATATCCAAAATTTGTATGCAGCTTGTACATTTCATTAAATCTTTATTTTGTAAACATCTAGGATCTCTGAACATTTTATTCCATTCCTCCCTGCAGACATCCATTATTTGTTCCATTACAGTCCCCTGGCCCCCGCCACAACCGTAAATGCATATCTTCTCCATATCCAAGTCAACATTTCAGCATACGAGTACTACGAGTATATGTGGCAGCAGCAGGCAAAAATGTCGGCAACAAATGGAAAAAATATATGCAAAAATCCACAGAAAATAAAAAGGGAAAGAAGGAGGACTGGAGGACTGGAGGACTGGAGGACTGGAGGACTGGAGGAGCTTGAGCACTGAGTGGAAGTGGGTGGTTGGAGCTGAACAAAAGACAAACAGACTGAAATGCAGCAGGATCTGGGAAACAGATTTTCCCTCCAACTGCAGTAATAAATGATAAACAAGTGCAAGCTGGCCAAATGGGCGTGACTCCTGGGCCTCCACAAGCGGAAGACTGGGAGACTGAGAGCTCTGCTCTGCTCTGCTCTGGTCTGGTTACATGGCTCTGATATTGAAAACTGCTGCTGTTGCTACTACTCCTGACTCTGGTGCTCCTCTGTAATCCGTTCTGTTTCTGGTACTGGCTGTGTTTCTGGGCTCTGGTGCAGAGCTAAGCAAATGTCTCTCTCTCTCTCTCTCTCTCTCTCTCTCTCTGTTCCTCCACATGTCTGTGTGTGTCTTTTCACACTTTTGCATTATTTATGCAGGGAACTAGGCATCTGTGTGTGTGTGTGTCTGTGTCTGTTCTAGTGACAGTGCCCGCCTTATGGTACGTGCCTCGAAATGCAACGACAGCTGCTCCTGGTTCCTGGACCAAAAACCCAAGCCCAGCCCACTCCATCTCGGCAGAGACTGAGCTGGAAATACATATATTTATTCCCTGTACATATTGTAAATGCCCCATGCCTCGTGTCAAACTTCTAATTAACCTCGTAATTCATGCAACCAAAGTGTGGCAGCCACACAGAAGGGGGCAGCCTCCAGACTGTCGAGGCCCAGAGTCAAGTCGAGTGACTGCTTGCCATTATTGTGCGTTCGTTGGGCTCTGGGAGAACAGAAAAGCCAGCAAAATAAGTGGAGAACGTGAGCTGCCAACCGACACAAAAATTATCAATGAAAGTTTCGCAAAAAAAATTAATTTAAGAAAATTAATAATACATGTTCTAGTATTTTCTGAATCATTATAAAAAATAGTAAAGGAGCGGAAAGAATATCAATGCTTCAAAATGTGAGAAAAAATAAAGACTTTTAGCTCTCTCGAATTGCTTGTAGAATCGAAATTAACTGTGATCTTTCGTGCTCGAATAATTAGAATTGTTTAGTCTAGGCATTGCCTAGTCAATGTTTGTAATCAAAGATACAAATAAAAATACGCCCAAATAAATATAAATTGATTTAAATTTCAAGATTGATTGTGAAGCCAAAATGCATTAAATCAAGCAACAGTTTGTTTAAACAATTATCGTTAAAAGTTAAGCGGAAAATGGAATTGAAGCAGAATCAAATTGTTGACATATATATGCATATGTACATATGCATGTTTATCGGGGAGTATTTTGTAGTTGTCTAACAAAGTTTCGAGACAACTTCTGGCTCGGCCTTTGCCTCTGAACGAATGTCAATCTGTGTAGCTTCTGTCGCAGCTGTGCCCCAATCAAACATTAAATTGCAATTTATTTTGCGGCTGCAACATAGACAACATGAAACCGCAGCCAGCACTTAATTCTCTGGCAGTTCCAGAAGTTCAAACAACAAAAAAAAAAAAAAAAAACAGCAACAAAAATCAGAAAATAACAAGGAAAAGAAAAAGATCCAACAAAAGAGTAAAGAGAAGCGACCACAAGCGACCACATTGTCTTAGTTATATTAAAACTATGTTTTGGTAATAAAAAAAAGCCAAGCAAAATATACAAATGCCTACCCCAAGAAAATACCCTGCACTAAGAGAGCTTCCGAAATTAGTTTCAGCTGAAGTAGTAAAGAGATTAAAGAGGATACTTGCACAGAGAGAAAGAACAGATTTATTTATTGGAAATTTATTTAGGCTAAATATCAAATACATGTCTCGTTGCAAATATGTAAATATATTTACATAAATTTGTAATTCTTAGTTGAAACTTGAAATCCAAAATATTCCTGCACTAATAAGTGTGCAAATATCTGAATAAAATATAGTCTTTATATTTTAGGAGTGCCAAAATGGATTAGAAGCAAAACTTTTCACCCACACAGAAAAACTTGTCAAAGGCAACAGCCAAAAATGCGAATTCGTGGCACAACAAAAAAAATTCCGCCAATTTGTGTGCAATTTAAAGGGTCCAAAGAGGAGGGTGGGTCAGGCTGTGGAACCTAGAAAGGGTCCCCACATTCACATACACATACATACAAACTCCTTTCATATATACACGAAAAAAGTTAACAACTATTTAGCTCTGGGCTTGCAGGAGGAGCAGGCTACAAACTTGGCAGACACAGGACTCGGACACGGGACAGGGGACAGGGGACAGGGGACACGGATGAGCAGACCACAATGGACCTGACCGCGACGGGGGGAGGGCGGAGTGAATCAGAGTGGGATTGGGGGGATAGGGATCGGAATGGCGTTGCAGCCATAAAGCGTTCAACAGCAGCCAGTGTGGTGAAGGAGTGGTGTTGGGGGAAGGAGCAAGTTTTTGAGGCTGATTCTGCATTAACGCTGACCGAAAAATCTCTGCAGCTGAAGTTGAACTCTCTCTCTCTCTCTCTCTCTTTTTCTCTGTTTCTGCGTTTATTTTTTGCGCTCTGGCACAACAAAAAAGTATTTCGCGGACAAAGCAGAGTTACTCCTCGTCCTTTTCTCTCTCCCTGCGCCAGGACTCTTGTTGTTGCAACAATAACGCTACATTACAAGTGGCAGGCGAGCGCATCGAGTTAGTTAGTTTGCCACCCATGCCCCATGTTAGATGCACCATGCTTCATGGCCGCAACTCGGGAGATCCGACAATTCTGTGGTCTTGTTAGTCCAGGGGCTGGCTGGCTGGCTGGCAAGTTGGTTAAAAAGTTGTTGATGCAGTTACATACCGCCCCTCCGCCTGCCCCTGCTCCTGTCTGAGCACTGGACACAGGACATTTGTGCTAATGGCTGCCAACATCCTGTCAAGGGGCTCGTTGGGACGGGGGGTCAGGGAGCTGGCTACAAACATGTTGCATACTCTGCGGCGTAAGCGAAAAATTTTCACCCAACCTAAAAGCAAGCTCAAAAAGGGAATAAACTATGCGTTTGGGGCTGGGCGAGTGAAGTTGCGGCCTGCCCCATGCATCGAAGGGTGGCGAATAATTAAATTAATAAAAGGGAACAAAGGGGTAATAATAATATTTCCTCTAAATAGATAATTGACAATGCGAAAGGAACAATGCTGGCCAAAGGAAGAATCAAATTTTGTATGTTAATATATTCGGCCGCCTGGGGGTGGGAGACCATCTTCTTTCTAGTGGTTCTTCTTGGCCTCATTTCCGCGATGAGACTCCTCTTCCTCCAGGTCCAGCTCGTACTCATCTTCGATCTCCTCCAGCAGCAGGAAGTCGTCGTTCTCCTCCTGGTCCTCTTGATACACGTAGGACTGCTTCTTGTCCTCCTCCGATTGTGAGGCGCTGTCCACCTCCCGCTGATACTTCTCGCCTTCATTCTCAGATTTGACATTGTGCACTTCATCGGATTGTAGGGTGAGCAGTTCTGCCTGCGGCAGAACCTGTGCCTGTGACGGTTCCTGATCCTGCTTTGGGGGCTGAGTCACTTCTACCACGGATGGCAATGAAAGTGTCTCCACCGACGACAATGACTGGAAATCCTCGAAGACGGCCTTCAACTGTGGCACGTCTGGCAACACTGGGTGTTCCTCCTCTTTTGAAGGTTGCGAATGCATGTCTTCGAAGACTTCCAGCGCCTCCTGCTCTGGCAAACTCTGCATCTCTTCGCTGAAAGGTAGGGACTGTTGCCCATCGACGACTGGCAGGGACTGTAGCTTCGCTAGGTCTGGCAGAGATTGTACCGAGAATGGCAGAGTCTGCACCTTCTCGACGACTGGCAGGGACTGCACCTTATGGACGACTGAATGCGGCTGCGCCTCCTCACCGACTGGCAGGGATTGCACCTCATTGTGGACCAAACGAGACTGTACCTCCTCCAAGACTGGCAAGACTGAGTCTTGACATGAACCCTCTTCTTGCTTCAGCTCGTGATGAGTCGTTAGATCTTGCAGGGACTGGCATGGGGCATGTGCGGCTTCAGCAGGGGGTTCCACGACTTGGAGGTCATCGACTGCCACCGAACTGTGCTGAATTGATGACTTGCTTTGCTTTGAAATTTTTGCCGGATTGAAAGCAACTGCCTGATCTTTCATCTCCTTGAGTTTTTTCTTTATAAGATTCTGCAGATTCAGTGGATTTAGTTTCGGAGCACAGCTGATCTGCGGCGGGTCGCTGGAACGCTTCTCCTCGTGAATGGTCAGCTTCAAGTCGATGTCGGTGGTAAAATTGTTCGTGAGGAGCTTCATCTCGCGGTGTGTGAGTCGCATGAAGAGGGCGTTCTCCCGCTGCATATCCCGATGATCGAGCAGCATGGGAACCGGCGAGGTGGGCACCAGCTGCTGTTTGACCTCCTGCTTGGCCTCGTTCTCGACTTGGGACTCGGCAGAGACCAGTATCTGCAGTGAGGAATGGGCCTGGGGACATAAGAACCACAGATTGTACAATTGTGTGACGGCTGGTCCGTTCCGCTGCCCGTCCCACGAAGTTTTACACAGCATCCCCATCACGGCCAGGTGGTGGCTCCAGCTGGCATTTTTGGGCGGCAGGTTCAAGTTGTTGCCAGTCCGCCAGGCGCTCTCAAAGAGCAGTATGCCAATGCACCGCTGACTTGCACAGTCGCCCAGCACCAGGGGCAGCTCCAGCCTGAGGGTCGCCGTGACATTGAGGTGCATCTCCAGTGTCGTAATCAAAGGATGCTCGACCAGGCAGTGGGACAAGCAGTTCGAGGTGTTCAGCACCGCCTCGCAGGTGGACAGGGGACAGCCGAACATCAGACGCTGCTGGCGACTCATTTGCTCGCGATTGGCTGCACGACTCAGCAGCCGCTCGACGCCCTCCGCCTGGTCCTCCTCACCGCCGCTCAGCGACACATTCGCCCCCTTGCAGCTTGGTCCGCACATGTCCAGATCAACGTAGACGCGCGGCTTCTGCTGCTCTGCGCGGAAGCTCAGATGCGTGTGGGAGAGCACCACCTCACCGGCCAGAACGTCGTCGCCATCCTTCGGCTCCGGCAGGCACTGCTGCGATATAATCGGCCCCACCAGCGGCGCGCAAAGTGAAAACTCCGAATGCGAATAGCCGAGATTCAGGGAGTTGGGAGTGGACTTCACAGTGGACTTGGCCCTACTCGAGGAGGGATACTCCAAATCGACCAAAGTGTTCTTACTGTTTTGGCTGCTCATTTTTCTTTTCTTTTTTTTTTCTAGCGCAATTTTTGTTGAGAATTTTGTATTTGTATGGAATTTTGATGTTGCCGCGTGTAGAATTTGGCTTAGACTGTATCAAATCTCGTCTCGAAGTGGAAATATGACTGGAATGTGTGTGTTGGTCGACAGGCAAGGCTGACTTGATGCTGATCATTGCTAGTGGAGTACAATTTGAGGGGAACTGTCGAAGGTGGGGGAAGTGAAACTAAAACAATGCGACAAACAGTGCCGCAGAACATCTTGTTGCATTTGCAATTTCCGGTGTAAAAAAAGAGAAAAAGGATAAAAATGTGTCAACCATAAGGCACAAAGCGCAATAAAAACAAAACTCAAGTTCTCTCTGTAACTCCCTCCTTCTCCTTCTCCCACTCCCTCTTTCCCTCTGTCCCTGTCTCAGTGCGTAAAGCTCTGAAGGCGCCGCCGCCTGTGCCAAAGAGAAAAAGAAACTCCAGAGTCCCGCCTGCGGGCCTCAGACTAGTAACCCGAGTACAGTGCCACTCAAAAATGTAAGACCAGTGCAGGCAATCTTTTGTGATCCTTTTACCCTGATTTCCAATCAGAAACATATTCCTTCCAAATGTTTGTTTAAAATCAAATAATTCCAAGCTCTAGTGCTCAGTGCCCCTACAGCCACGACACGCACTGTAGCACTGCACCGCGCATCGAGTCACGTGCATGCGCCATTTGTTTATGGCTTTCCCTCCCCCCTTTTACTTTGCTTTTACTTATTAGTTTGGCTTTCTCTCAGCTCCTCCTACTTCAGCTGCTGTTACTCCTTCTCCCTCTCCCTCTACTGCTGAAAGTCTTTCTGTTGCTGCTCCTGCAGTTCTGCTGCAGCTTTCCTCCTCTTGAGCTATTGCTTTTCCTTGTTGCTTTTGAGCTGCAATTGTCAGTTGACAATGCAGTCAGCCAGACAGGGTGGGGGGGAGTGAAAGGCAAAAGGAAAGCCATAAAGCTCTACAATCCAAGATTTGTTGACACCTTAAAGCCAGCGCCAGCTCCAGAGTCGCTGAGGCGCAAGGCCTGGGTCCAGCACCCAAGACTTTAATTGAGTTCTCACACATTTTGACATTCTGACAGTTATCCCAAAGAGATATACGAGAGATATATGGATGTATGAATGTATATGTGTAGATGTGTCAGCAATTTAAACATTTTACCTTATGGCATAATTCCCGCTGCCACTTACCTGCAAAGAGAAAAACAGAAAGAGAATAAATAGTAGCTCAGAGATGGTTCAAAAATGTGCACAAAAATCGATTGCCCTGGCATATGAGTGAAGCAAAATATAATCAGCAGGCAAATATGAATACAAATTAAGCCCCCAAAATGGTGGTAGGAGTGGCAATCATTTGTGGGGCAGACACACCACTCATTTCGAAAGGGTTAATTGAAGCAATTTTCAGTCAACTTGAGCTCAAGTGGGGGACATAGCTACTAGGACGACTCTGTGTCTCTTTCTTCTCCCTCTATCTCTGTCTCTATCTCTCTTTCATCAGCAGTATGCAGTCCATAAACTTGTAAAATGGCGGCCTCATTGTTGGGGCTTGGCATAAAGCAAACAATGACGAGAGCACACACAGAGAGACACCCCACCATTACCCTTTTGCCCATTTCCATCTGCCTTTGGCTTTGGCTCTGGCTCTCGGTCTGTCTCTGCCTTTGCCTCTGCCTCTGCCTTCTGCTGTCTTAACAGCAACGACGTGTAAAACAATTGTGCTCTCGCAGTTAATTTGTGTGCAACAACAGGCAGGACCCGTACCCGTACCCGTACCCGTACCCCTACCCATGGATGATACGAGTATTCCTGTGTGTATTCCTGCCTGTGACACGACAATTGAAAAGGCAATGCACAAAGTTCCACACAAATACACTCGCACACACCCGTACACACAATGTGCCAAAGTTTATACGAAATTAATGTTAATTACTACGCGAGTGAGACTCTGTGTGCCACATCTGTGTGCAGCACCATCATGCACCATCTGTGGTACCGTGTGCCATGTCACGCGGCAAGGGGGAAAATGCATATGTAGCCGAATGCAATTAACCGAAATGCATTTAACAAGCTGAAAGAAGAGCTCAAGTAGCAGCTCCACGCCGCTGCGCTCTGCACCATCGACCGATGACTCGACAAAATGTCTGGCGACAGGAAACAGAAGAGGATGCAAGGAGGCAAGTAAAGGGATGATTAATAACCATAATGGATGAGTGCTGTTTAAAAAAGGATACCCTGACGCTGGATGGTGAATAGGGGATGGTGGATGCATCCACTGTGGAGGAGCCATCGATAATTGCAATAAATCCATTAGTGATCTATCGAATGCTATCCAAATTAAAAGCAGATACTTTTACAAGGTATTCGTATCCATTTAATGGCTTCAATAGCACTGAAAGAAACGATAAGACTGAGACGAGACTCATGTAGCACTTCCGCTAGTAAAATATATTCCGAAAATTAATTCTCTTAATAGTATTAAGTTAATACAGCAACAAATGAAATTTCTTGTGAATGACAAGAGATATATTTTCTCTGAGAGTACGAGCCATAATGGGGTACAAGCAAATCGATTCTTTAACGAATCTAATTGGGAAATATTCTCAAATGTTTTAAGAACATTCCTTCAGCATAAAATCCCTCAGTCAATCCCCCAGCCAATTTTCGCATTCATCGATCATCTTCGTCGAGCAATCAATCGAATTCAAACCGATAAATCCCCGCTTAAGCCACAAAGAGAAAGAGAAAGCATTTCGCTGTGCCCCCTCTTCCGTCTTACCATTTGATTCGATTCTTTTATATTCGCTTCCCTCTTGGTTGATGCTGATTTGCTTTGTTTTGTTAGCGAATTGAACAACTTTTCCAGCTGTCTGGCAGCTTTCGGCATTCCCATGACTACCCCAAGCCCAAGCCCAAGCCCAAGCGCCCATCTTCCATCCCATTCCATCCCTTGCTCTTGGGGCTTGAGGCACGGTCCATGGCATTCTCCATGATGTGGCACAAATGGCAATGCGCTTAACGTGTTTCGTGTTCCGTGTTTCTGTTGCTGCTGCTGTAGCTGCTGCTGCTGCTGCTGCTCCTGTAGTTGCTGTTGTCATGCATTGTGTGGCGCTGACACTGCAGCAATCGACAGGCAGCAACAATAAAGCCCTACAGAGGCATGAGGCATGGATCGTGGTGGTGGTGGTGGGGGGGGCGATGGTCTCTCGAGGATTGGAGTGAAGACACCTTGGCCCACGCACTGACAATTTATAAAAGCCACAACAAATGTCTGAGGCTGTAAACTTTCCGTAAATCTTTGCAGCAATGTCTGCCAAAGGCAACGGGCAACGTGCAACGTGCAACGTGCACCGTGCGGCAACGGGTGGTAATGCCAGCGTGGCAAGACAAGGACGATGACGTTGTCGTTGTCGTTGTCGTCGTCACGCGGATATGCCGGGCGCGACTCTGAAGGATTTTCATGGCTGGCAATATTTTTCTTGTCTCATTGTTGTTGCTGTTGCTGTTGCCGTGTTGCCGTCAGCCTGTCAAAGCTCCAACACGTTTCCCCACACACAAACATACAAGTCTACAGCCATAAGCACACTCTGGCAGTCGTGTAGCTACATAGGATGCATCCCGAAAGAGATGCCCCACAAATGAACGAATGGGGGAATGCCCTTTCAAGAATTTAGATTAGTTATTTGTAATTTCTGTATCTATTATTTATTGTTTTACCTTTATCTGTCATGTAATCAACAAAACACACTCATAGATACACAAAGCATCTCCCAGACATATCTGAGCATATCCCAGAGGCGACTCCAAATCTCTCTTTTATCTGTCTTTGGGCCACGGTGTGTCAGCGTCTTGGCGGAACCCCGTGACAGCATTTACTTTATATTCCCCGCCACCCGTGCCACGCTCCAGCCCGAGACCTAGTCCTGCCATCAGCTGTTGTTTGTTGGGGTCCTCCATTGTTGTTGTTGGTGCATTTCTTTGCTTTCATTAGTCTAATCCAGACATGATCATGCATATATTGGTACCTCTCCTCCCTCTGCCTGAGGCAACTCCTAGCCAGGTGTCCTCCTGCTCCTGCCGCTCCTGCTGGCGATGCTTAAGCGTTCATAACATTTTCATTTTTAATATACAAAAACATGCATGTGCTGGGCCTTCAGACTTTAGAATTTACCCTTCAGCCCGGCCGGCTGCTGGCTTTCCCTTCACTTATTTTTTTTTTTTTTGGTTTCGGTTCTTTTTTTTTTTGTGCTTCTTGCATGACAAACTTTTTTATGTAAATTCCATGGCTGCTGCTGCTGTCGCTTTTTGTTGTTTTACTTTCTGTTTGGCATTTGTGCACCTGTGTGCCCGTCCCATCATGAGGCATAGGCCCAGGTAACAGAGGGAGAGAGAAGCTTTGCTATTCCTGGGAGTCATCCCAAGCCTATGTAGAGAATATTGTTCCGGCCTGGCCAAAGCCGGAAAACCATAAAGATTTCGGTTTTCATGTCCCACAGAAATCTGGCACAGGCTTTGCATCCAAAAACAAAAACAAAAACAAACAGCAGAAGGGGAGAGGAGAGGAGAGAGGAGAGAGGAAAGAGGAGAGAATCCCCATCTAATCGAATCTAATTTCCTTTAACATACTTTTCAGGTCACTTTTCAACTTTCCCATGGCCGAAAACACTTGACAATCTTTCTCTGGCCAAAAAGTTTCAATTGCCGGTTCAATGTTCAATACCCAAACCAACAATTTCCAGCCTCAAAGTTCAAGTGGGGAAAAGGATGTGGCAAGGGGACGACGGGAGGAGCTGCCTGGAGCCTGCTGATGATCCAAAAATCAAATTGAACAAAACTTTTGCAAAACAAAAATGTTTGTTGTGTGTGTGTGTGTGTGAGTGTGGACCTTCTGTCCATTTTGTGGCCATTGCAGATGGCTTGGGGTATAATCTGGAAAATTAATTGAAACCGAAGCATGTTGGGAAGCCATCAAATAGATGAATACTCGAAGAGGAGGAGGAGAAAGTGACTGAAGAAAAGAACGTAGGGGGGGCAGCATTAGAGAAGTTGCAGAAAATACAGCACAGAGGAAGGCCAATGATTGATTAAG